GAAGGATGACTTCCTTCCCCAGTTGGCTTTAGGTCCCTGTGCCTGTCCCCTCTGCGTCCCCACAGGGAGGAGAGGAGGCTGGCGGCTGGATCTGAACTTCCTGGGTGCCTGGCTATCCCCTCATTTAATAGCAGCAACTCCCTCTTCAGCATCTAAGAAGGAGGAGGGACTCCACCCAGCACAGAACATCCAGTTCACGGAGAAGGAAGAGAAATGCTCAGTGAAAGACTCAAGAGCTGGAAAGACAGGGTACTACTCTTTAAAATTAGTAGTATGAGGTTCTAAAAGGAATCTGAAGACCAAGTATTTTTTTTTTTAATGTGGAAAAATACAGGGGACTACAGAGTCAAGTGCAGTAAAGTTAGAAACATCAGCTGATTTTCAAATATACCACAGTCGTGGCTGCATTTAACTTATAAATATTAAATGACCCTGATCAGAACCGAAGTGTGGCTGCTTCAAAAAGGCTTCCTTTCCACCATTTAGCGAAGCTGGTTGTAAACCACCGAACCACAGGCCTCTGAGGCCGGAAAGGACCGCAGCTTTCATCCGATCTGACCAACGTTTGAGAACGATCTTTAAAAAGCAATCTCCGAAAGACACGAATCGTAAATCACACACATCCCGGTGAGCTGGAAACGGGGCTCAGGGTACGCGGGAGAGGAGCCGGTGCTTTAAATAGGCATTGCAGAAAGGACCGCTGGATTCAGCTTTTACTTTGATGACATAAACCCACACCCCTAGTCTTGCAAAGTACTTCTAAAAACCTCTGACCCCGAAACATTCTGCAGCGGCAAGTTCTAAAGCAGCCTAACTTCGATTTCCCAAGGATGTCTGCAACCCTCTCTGTCCTGCTCCCTGGGCACAGGGATGAAAGCACCTGCAGCGTGCACTGAGTCGGCGCAAAACCTCCGGGAAGAGCAAAGGTGGGCCGTTCCCAGCATTCTCGCTAGCCCGGGGCTGGGTGATATTTGGGCATATACTGCTCCCCGTGACTTATCACCCATACCTGTTCCGGGGCAGTGGGGCATCTAAGAGAAGTAACAGGCACCGCCAAAGTGCTCAAGAGGATTATGAGCTATGGGGACAGACAGGCATGAGATAACCTAGTCACGTGACACAGGATCAGGGGCTGAAGAAAGGCTTCGTGGAGACAGAAACATCTGAGCGAGACCTAACTGATGAGTAGGAACTGAAACAGCAGAGAGGCGAGTACTCCACTCCTGCAGCCTTGCAAACACCTGCATTGTATGATGTTAAAAAAATGATGCTTAGCCTGGCCAGTGTGGCTCAATGATTGAGTATTGAGACATGAACCAGGAGGTCACAGTTCCATTCCTGGTCAGGGCACATGCCCAGAATGCGGACTCGATCCCCAGTAGGGGATGTGCAGGAGGCAGCCGATCAATGATTCCCTCTCATCATTGATGTTTCTGTCTCTCTTTCCTTTCCTCTCTCTGAAATCAATAAAAAAAAATATATTTTTTTTAAAATGATGCCTAGAAAAATGCATATCTGTTACCTTTGCCACTGACAGAAACTTTTGCAACAGTGAAGAACAACAAATCTAACTCCTAATCAAATGATACCATGCTCACCACTTCATTCACTCCGGCATGATGCCTTGTGTGCAAGAATTCACACCAGCAATACTTAGACTTTGCTATGTATGTATGTATGTGTATGTATGTATGTGTATGTATTTGGGGGGAAAGGGAAAAGCAGGGGCTGGTGGACAGAAAGGCCTAGAGCAGCCACCAGACCAGCTATTTCCCTCCTTAGTTAAAGAAAACATATTTTAAAGATGAACTTCAATACTGAGAGAAATTGTGTGGGTTGTGCTTTTACTCCAAATACTTTGCATTTGTGCTTACTGTCTGTCCCCCTTGGCCCCTGTGACATGCAAGTCTGGCTACATACGTCTATTTACTTCTATTCTGTTACTTCTATTCTGAATGACTTCCAAGAGGCAGGCTGGACGGGGGCTCACCTGTGGAGTGGCCTGAGGGCGGGGAGGAAGCTGAGGTCCTGGAGAACAGCAGCCAAGACGGCTCTGGCTCCGGGAAATTTCCCTTCCTGGAGAGTGAGGCCTCTTCTCCCATCTCCAACGCAGAACGAGAGGACTGGCTCAAAACTGAAGTGGCCACAGGGGTCCGCACGGTCACTTCTTTGGGGAGCCCCTTCTCCCTCACTGGGGAACCCCAGGAGGGTCTGTTCTCTGGGTGAGAAGGGGCACCTCTGCCTTCTGACCCTGGGCTGCTGGCTGGCAGAGGAAGCCTTCCCAAGGCTGAAAGCAAACAGCAACAAAGAATGTCCCACCAGCAGACCTCCCAGTCAGAATCTGCCCCCCTGACTCCAGGTTCCCTTCAACCCATCTCCCTCCCCAGACCGCTTATACCTCCTGCCAGGTGACTCCTCCCCAAACTCACTTTAATCCTGTCACTGTCTGGATCAGAAACCTTCAGGAACTCTGGCCACAATAGCAAATCTTAACTGCAGCCTTTTCAAGTCCTCCACAGCTGTCCCTAACCCCATCCACACAACCTCCACCCGCTGCTCCTCTCCTCTGTGACTTACGCCTCTCCCCAGGGAGGCTGCTGCCCTTGCAGCCCCACAAAGAGCCCACGCTTCTCTCCTCTTAGCATCCCTCAGGTGGTCCAGGCGCCCACCCCTCAGCTGCTCTGGCATCTCGCTCAGATACACAGACTGGGGCTCAGATCCCAGCTCGGACTGTTAGCTGTTGGACCTACAGTGGGGCCTTGACTTACGAGTGTCCCGACTAATGAGTTTTTTGAGATACCAGCTGTCTCTCGGCCGATTTTTTGCATTGAGTTGATAATTTGAGTTAATGAGCTCCTTAACGAGCTCGGTCTCGGAACGAATTAAACTCGTAAGTCAAGGCCCCACTGTACACCCTTTGGATGGACTGACTTCTCTGAGCTTCAGTTTCCAAATTCCTACGCGGAGGATAATGTGAGGACTGAGACCAGACACGCTGTGTGTTGCAGGGACTTAATCAGCGCTCATTTTCTGGCTTCCCTTCCTCAATCAAATCTTGTTCATCCAGCCCCGGCCCCTGCTTGAAATCCTTTGCTAAAAACAGCAAACCGCCAGCTGTGCAGACTGGAGCAGGAACATCCATTTGAGCCACGTCAAGACACACACACACACACACAGGCATGCACACACACACACACACACACACACACACCACCGCACATGGCGCCTCTGATACTTGCAGCATGTGGCAGGGTCCTGAGCGCCGTTTGCATTCAAACCGGCCCTGAAAGTAGGCTCTATGGGACTGGACAAACCTCAGCAAATCGGCATCTGGTCTGGTTGATACTTCTAACTCGGTTCACTCAGCCCAAGTCACAGGGCCGATCCCCATCCAGGACCCCGCAATGGAGCCCTGGCTCAGGGAGGGGGAGAGGAGACCGGCAGAAATGGTTTTCTAGGGCTCGACCTACATGAAGCCGGCGTCGTCAGCACAGACTCACCTGAGGTGCTGCTCGAGGAAGTCAGAGCCGTTGCTCGCTCGGGCCCAGCAGGGGCAGTGGGGACCTTTGTTCTCCTCCGGGAGGGGTTTGATCCTCCAGCAGCTGCTGTCTCAGTGTGCAGAGTGAAGTTTTCTGGAGCATCTGAAGGAGCGTGGCTCTGGTCGGGGGTCTGAACCTTCACCCCCTCCTCGGAGGCCAATGTGGAAAAGTCCGCTGGATTCTGATCAAAGGTGACGTTTGCTGCGTGGGGCTCAGTGCTGCCTTCTGGCCAGTGGTTCCTTACAGCAGCTGGAACAAACAGAAAAGGGACCGGTGAGAACCCGCTGGCTTCTGGAAAGAGAAAGGAGCCTTCAGAAACCACGAGCAGCTTTGTCCATAAGAAGTGGATTCAAGGAGAATATTTTCACTTCTCTCCGCGCCTCCATCCCCCACAGTAATTATTCTTACAATCAACCCAGTGGGAGAAATTAGGAAGCACCAATAGTGTATCGGACTAAATTTTACAGCACGTGGAATGAATGATGGAAACTGAGAGAGACCCACGTGGGGCTCAGTGAAGAGGACCGGAACCTCTGGCAGCTGAGCAGGCTCAGGAGGGGCAGGGGACGCAGGTCAGGTGTGAGTGGAGGGAAGGCAGGTCTTCATCAGCACAAGGCTGTGAACTGGGCCTTCTCGATGGGAGCAGGGAAAAGCTGGCAGCTCTTAATCCTACACCTACTCTTGTAGGCAGGAAGTGGGCCATGCATCGTTCTGGGAAAATATGTGAGGATTTGGCCATTTTACCAAAACCTTAGTAATGTACATGGGTTTGATATAACAACTTCACAGGAATGGAGGAAGGAAGAAAGAAAGAAGAAGGAGAGGGAGAGGGAGAGGGAGAGAGAAAGATGAAAGGGAAGGAAGAACCTAAAATTCCTATAGCAGATCAATTAAGCCAGTTGCAGTATATCCATATGAAAGGATACATGAGGTCATTAAAAACTATGTTATAAAATATATTCTACAGGTACCAGTGAGTTAAAACAACAGGCTTCAAAATAGAATTTAGAGTATGATCTCGTTTTGTTAAAATTAATAATAAAGGGAATCATGTGTGTGTGCCAACCACTAATGTACACGCTTTACATGCACCCGTTCATGTAATCCTTGCACTTATGGGAGGTGGGTGCCCTTTTTCCCCCCACTTTGCCCAAGTCACCAGGAAGCCAGCTTGAAGCCCAAGCCCTCATTCTCGGCTGTGCTCAGCTGGAAGGGAAAGTGCCGAAGAGGAGTGTCAGGGCCAATCCTCCTGTTCTCACTTCCAGTTCAGAGGGGCTGAGGAAATGCTGCCTATGAGGGTGGACTATTACTTGACGTCTATAAACTAGGAATGTATATTAGAAAACACGTTAAGTGGTTAGAAATGCTGTGAGGATGAAGTTAAAGTTGAGGGTAAAATTGGGCACCGAGGAAATCGTCTTGTAGTGTCAAGGTCATGCATCAAGGCAGAGAGGTCAGAGTCAGGGCAGGTGGGTGGACACCCAAGTCCAACCCGAGAAGGCATATCACAGATGTCACTAAATTTTCTAGTGGCCACATTTAAAAAGTGAAAAGAGACAGGTGGAATTAATTCGAATAAATATTTTATTTAACCTGACATCCAAAATAGTACCATCGCAGTATCTAATTGATGTAAAAATTATTGATGCCCTGGCCGGCTTGGCTCAGTGGATAGAGCGTCAGCTTGTGGACTGAAGGGTCCCAGGTTCTATTCCGGCCAAGGGCACATGCCTGGGTTGCGGGATCAATCCCCAGTAGGGGGCGTGCAGGAGGCAGCCGATCAATGATGTTTGATGTTTCTATCTCACCATTGATGTTTCTATCTCTCTCTCCTTCTCCCTTCCTCTCTGAAATCAATAAAGAAATATATTTTTAAAAATTATTGAGATATCTGCATTTTTTGTATTAAAGCTTTAAAACCCAGTGAGTATTTTATAAGCCATGCTTTAAGAGTTCAATAGCAACAATAGTTACCACAGTGGACAGTGCAATTCTAGATTGATCGTTCTCAACATTTCCCCACTCTGGACTACATCTACCAGGAGCAGTGGGGTTGGAAGGGTGGCGATTATGAAAACTTCCATAAGAGATTTTGACAAACTTTCCTAAGGGAATCATTTCCTCCCCCAATCCCTTGAGATTACTGTGTTCATGCTTCCTATTCTGTTTCCTGTAAGTGAAAATTAACAGAAGCTTCCTGAAGGGGGGGTGGGGGGTGGGGGGAGTTGTCCGGGCATCTGTACTCCTCTGGGGCCCAGCCCCCCACAGGCACAAACTCACTCAGAAATGGGATGTGGAGGGATGTTTCCAGGGGCAGCTGCAAAGTCCCTAAATTGAATTTGAGACTCGGATTGCGAAGAGCAGTGACCCATAAGACATGTTCCCTTCGTTCTTCCTGTCTGAGCTGCTGAGGCAAGCTGGCCTCCCAAGAGGAGGTGAAAGGGTTTGAGGATGCTTTCTCCATCCTCTTGGTACAATGAGAGACATTATTCTCAAAAGCCAAAAAAAAGTGATTACAGGAAGATAGAAGGGACTCAAAACCCATGCCCCAAAGCTGGCAAGCCATGAGCAAAGACAAGGAAATGAATTTAGCTCCATTATTCCCTGAGATGAATATGAGGCTTATGTAGCTGGGCCTCCAAGAAGGCAGCAATGCCCGCTTTTTTAGGGATAAGGAGTGGAAGTCCCAGACCCCAGTCAAGTCAAGGAATCCCACTGCAGTCTCCAAAAGGAAAAGAATAGCCCCAGGAAACAGGACATGGCTGGCACTGAACCACACTCTCCCTGGAAGAAGAAAAAAATGCACACTATAAACAAAACTAAAAGGCAGACAGATGACAGTCCTGAGGTATCCCAAATAACCTTGCCTCTAAATACAAAATGCTGAATAAAATATTTTAAAAAAATATATCTAAATGTATTGTTGTGTTGACAAGAAGTAAAGAATTTAATCTTCTGAGGCCAAAAATGAAGCAAGAACTGAAATTCAGGAGGGGGCGGGGGGTAAGCTAACTCTGAAGCTGGCAGCTTCCCTGCGGCACCTGCTCACCATTCATGACCTTGAAATTCTGTTCTGAGAGCTACGAGGATGCAAGAGACAGAAGACAAAACTCTCAAGGAGGGAGTCTGAGAGGACACTGCTGTGTGAAGCTGGAACCAGAGCTATACCCTGGGTGTCAGGCAAACAGAAACCAACCTGTCCTCCAGGAGGAAAACAGCAAGGTCCTTCCATCTTGATCGTAGGTAAAAGGAAAACAAATCTCAGCCAAGAATGTGTAACCACGAAGCTGGCCCTCATGTGCAAACGCAGCACAAACTCAAAATATCTATGTCGGGTACAACTCAAGCCAAATGTGCTTAAAAGTGGTCTTGAACACACACACACACTAGGGGAAAATAGTGGTCCTGATATATAGTGCCTTAGGTACCTGGCAGAAACAAATGTGAATGTTCTCTAAATGAATATGGCCACAATCCAATTTCATCATTTACTGAAAAATTCTAAAGAATAAGAGATCACAGTAAAAAAAAAAATCACAAAATATACAAGGGAAAAGGTATCCATGGGCACAAGTCAGCAAACTGGACAAGCAAAGACTTTAAATACTGGAATTATCAGACAAAAAATATAAGTATATAAAACTACATGAAAATAACTAAGAAATTGAAAATGAGAGAAAAACACGATAATGTCTTTTTTTAAAGCCTAAGTGGAAATTCTAGAAATGAAATAATATAATAATTAAAATTAGGAAATGCAACAGTGGATTAAATATGGGTGAAAAGAGAATTAAGAATTACAAGACAAACAGCAAGAGAATGCCCAGATGAACATAAAAAGACAGACAATATGAAAACCAGGTGCAGATACAAAAGGAAGATAAATTGAGAAAGTCCCACATATATCTAACTGGGGTTCTAGGAGAAGAGAAATCAAGCAGAAATGGCAATATTCCACAGGGTAATGGCTGAGAATTTTACAGAACTAATAAAAAGTATGAATCCTCACTGTAAGGAAGCCCAACAAACCTTGGAGACCTAAATAAAAAAAAAGAAATATAAACCCCTGTCATACTGAAACTGCAGAAAATCACAGAAAAAAAAATAGGTCTTAGAAACTCCCACATTAAAAAAAATGACAAGCCATCTATAGAGGATGACAGTCTAACTGCTGACTTTTCAACAGCAGCCATGGAAGCCAAAAGACATTGGATAAATAGTTTCAATGTGCTGAGAGAGGAAAAACAGAATTGAATACTCAGCAAAACTATCTTTGAAAAACATCTTGAAGACTGTGTTTCAAAATAGAAACATTTCAGTCAAATTTGAGTTTATCAACCACAGCCACTAAAAGGAAATTATGGAGAATTTATTTCAAGCAGAAGAAAAATAATCCTGGATGAAAGCTATGAGATGCAAGAAGAAATAACGAGCAAAGAAAATGGTAAGTATGTACATAAATATAAAGAAATAATAGATTTATAAAACAATTTCTCACTTGTGGGATTAACAAAGTAAGACAGAGCAAATCCTGGATAACAACAGCACATACATTGGGAGGGTGCAATCAGAATCACATTGTAGGAGAAAGGTAACTTTAAATCGTGTCAGCAATGCATTTTGAAGTTCTTCAAATTGAACCGTAAGGAATAGAAATAGAATATGTCACTTCTGAATGGTATAGCTTGAAATGATATAAAATTTCCATTGAGAGAAATCTAAGGCTATTGCCTAAAACCAAAACAAACAAAAAAATCAATAAATAGCAACAGAAGCATGTTATTTACAGATCTGGATGTAATTACTAAGAGAATGAGTTAAAGGGTTGAAAATGGTTGATTCTAGGGAGAAGAAAAGAATGATAGTAGGAGTGGGCAGGGTTTCTATAACAGCTTCATAAATACATACTTGATTTTTATACTATGTATAAGTTGGATAAAAATAAAAGTAAAATTTTATAAAAGTTGAGTAGCAAACCGGGGTAAATGTCCGCAGTACATGCTAAAAGTTTAGCATTCTTAATCCATGAAGAACTCTTGCACATCCCCAAGTGTACATCTCATAGACAAAGAACATGAATGCATGATTCACAAAAGAAAATAAGTGGAGAACAAAAAAATATGAAAGTATTGTTGAAAAGAAATAAAATAATACAAACTAGAAAAGACATTTTAAAATGTTTATATATTTTCTTTTCCTATCAAATTGGCAAAGGTTTTAAAAAATTATACCTTATATCATTGCAGGTA